CTCGATGGCACCTAACAACAACAATAATACACTAGAATTTTGACTTAGCACAGTGACTTTCTAACATGTAGAACAATTCAAAATTTAAAGTAGGCTAGTTTAAGAGAAGAGTTATTAGGACTCTAACAGCATAACAGTAGGAAGTGAATTTTTTAAACCCTGTTAATAATAGTAACAGAAAATACCAGCTAGATAGGAATACTTTTAGCAAGTGACCTCTACATAAAAATCACAAAACATTAATAAGGATTAAAGAAAACTCAGGTAAAGTGAGTGATATACGTTGTTCTTTAACAGGAAGATTTGTTATTTTGAAATGGCCTTTTATCAAGAAATTCATCTGTTGTTGCAACTCATAGCAGTCCCACGTGACAGTAAAACTGCCCCATAGTGTTTAAGGAGCCCTGGTGGCACTCTGAGTTAGGCGTTATGCTGCTGACCACCATACTGTCTGCTCCCATAAAGATTTACAGTCACAGGAACCTTATATAGAGTTGCTATGAGTCAGAATCGACTTGATGGCGTTGGATTAATGTCTGTGGGAGTACATTACCAGGTCTTTCTCTCCCAGAGCCATTGAGTGGGTTCCAATCACCAGTCCCAGTAGTAGCCATTGCACCACTAGACTTTCTTAAATTGTTGTATAAAACTAAAAAGAAACCTTTTATCATCAAGTTGATCCCAACTCATAACAGCCCTATTGTTGTTAGGTGCCTTTGAGTCCACTCCAGCTCATGCGGACCCTACGCATAACAGAACAAACACTGCTTCATCCTTACATTCTTGTTAAGGTTGAGCCCATTGTTACAGCTACTGTGTTACTCTGGCTTCCTGGGTTGTGGGGGTGGGGGAAGGTCTTCTTTGTTTTTAATGTTCTTCACCAAACATAATGTCCTTTTCGAGGGGAGTGGTCCCTCCTGATAACATGTCCAAAGTATTTGAGAACTCTTGCCATCCTGGTTTCTAAGGTACATTCTGATTGTACTTTCCCCAAGACAAATGTGTTTGTTCTTCTGGCAGACCATGATACTTTTCTGTATTCCTCGCCAACTCCATAATTCATATGCATCAGTTCTTTCCCAGTCTTGCTTATTCATTGTCCAACTTTCACTTGCATATGAGGCAATTGAAAATACTAATTGGGTCAGGTGCATCTTATTCCTCAAAGTAAAATCTTTTCTCTTTAACAGTTTAAAGAGATCTTTTGCAGCAGATTTGCACAGTGTAATACATCCTTGGTTTCTTGACTGCTATGCCCATGAATATTGATGGTGGATTCAAGTGAGATAAATCTGTCTTTTCTCTGTTTATAATGATGTTTCTTAGCCCTGCTGTGAGGCTTTTTGTTGTCTTTAAATGGAATGGTAATCTATACTGAAGACTGTATTTTTTGATCTTCATAAGTAAGTACTTCAAATCCTCTACACTCTCAGCAAGCAAGGTTATGTCATCTGCATATCACAGGTTGTTAATGAGACTTCCTCCAATCCTGGCACTGTGTTCTCCTTCATATAATCCATCTTCTTGGATTATTTGCTCAGCACAAGATTGAATAAGTATAGTAAAAGAAGACAACTCTGACACATACCTGTCATGATTTAAAATTATGTAATATCTTCTTGTTCTGTTCTGACAGTTGCCTCTTGGTCTGTCTATATACAGGTTCTGCATGAGCACAATTAAGGGTTCTGGCATTTCCATTCTTCACAGTGTCATCCATAGTTTGTTAATGATCCACACCTTTGCTGCATAGTCAATAAAACACAAGTAAACCTGTTTCTGGTGTTTTCTGATTTCAGAAAATATCCACCTGACATCCACAATGATCACACTCATTTCATGTCCTCATCTGATTCCAGCTTGAATTTCTGGAAGCACAACTTTACTTGTGTGTCATACTAGTGATGTTGTTCTACAATTCTCACATTCTATAGAATCACCTTTCTTTTAAAGGAGCATAAAGATGAATATCTTGCAGTGGGTTGATGAGTTATCTGTCCTCCAATATTCTTGACTTAGAGTAGTGAGTGCTTCCAACATACATCAGCTTGTGAAACATATCCATTGGTATTCCATAAATTTCTGGAGCATTGTTTTTTTGCTTATGTCTTCAGTACAGCTTGGATTTCTTCCTTCAATACCATTGGTTCTTGATCACCGGCTACCCCCTAAAATGGTTGAATGTTGACCAATTCATTTTGGTACAGTGGCTTTATGTATTCCTTCCATCTTCTTTTGATATTTCCTGCATCATTCAATACATTGCCCATTGTTTTTGTTAAGTGCCGTTGAGTTGATTCCAACTCATAGTGACCCTGTTTAGGGTTGTTAGTATTCCATTGCTTATCCTACACCAGGACTCATGCCCATAGAATCCTTCAATGTTTCAATCTAAGACTTGAATTTTTTTCTTCCGATTTTTCAGCTTGAGAATACTGAGCATCTGTTTCCCTTTTGGTTTCCTAATTTTAGGTCTTTGCACATTTCATTATAATATTTGACTTTATCATCTGGAGCTGCCCTTTACTTTATCATTTCTCCCAGTCGATTCATCTCGTCTGTGTTCTCTATGTTCAAGAGCAAGTTTCAGAGTCCCTTCTAAAATCTACTTTGGTCTTTTCTTTCTTTCTTCTCTTTTTAATGATCTTTTGCTTTCTTGGATGATGCTCTTGATGTCATCCCATAACTCCTATGGTCTTCGGTCATTAGTGTTCAGTGCATCAGATCTGTTCTTGAGATGGTCTCTAGTTCAGGTGGGATATACACAAGGTCATATATTGACTCTGGTGGACTTGTTTTAAATTTTTTTCCAGTTTCAACCCAAATTTGCATCTGAACAATTGATGGCTTGTTTCACAGTTTGGCTCTGTGTTTTGGGTGATGATACAGAGTTCCACCATCTCTTCATATAGATGTAGTTAGTTTGATTCCTGTCTATCCCATCTGTTGAGGTCCATGTGTATAGTCATAGTTTATGTTGTTGAAAGGTATTTTCAATAAATAGTTTATTGGCCTTATAAAACTATCTTACTACCTCCAGCTTAATTTCTGTCACAAAGTCCATATTTTCTAACTTCCCAACCTTCTTCTTTGTTTCCAGCTTTGGCATTCTAATCTCCAGTAATTATCAGTGTATCTTAGTTGTATGTTTGATCAATTTCAGACTGAAGAATTTGGTAGAATTTCTTCATCATTGACTTTACTAGTTAGTGTGTAAATTTGAATAATTGCTGTATTAACTAGTCTTCCATGCAGGTGTTTAGATATTATCCTATCACAGACAGCATAACAGCATTGTATTTCAAGATAGATCTTAAAATGTTCTTTTTTGATGATGAATGCCACACTACTCCTCTTGGATTTATCATCATCCCAGCATAGTAAACCATGAGATGATCCTGTTCAAAATGGCCATTGCCAGTTCATTTGGGCTCACTGACACCTAGGATATCAGTCTTTAAGTATTCCATTGCATTTTTGATGACTTCCAATTTTCCTAGGTTTATATTTTATACGTTCCGTATTCTGATTATCTATGGATGTTTATAGCTGTTTCTTCTCATTTTGATTTGTGCCCCATCAGCAAATGAAGGTTCTGAAAACTTGCTGCCGCCACATCATTAAGGTCAAGGATACTGCTCTTCCACAGTTGTATTTTGAGTGCCTTCTAATCTGAAGCACTCATCTTCTGGCACTGTATCAGACGGTATTCGCTTCTCTTCTTTATGGTTTTCAGTGACTAACCTCTCAGAAGTGGACTTCCTATTCCTTCTTCCTAATCAGGTCTCAGTCTGGAAGCTCTGCTGAAATCTGTCCACTATATTTGAAACACCAGTCATACAGCTCCGAGCATCACAGCAACATACAAGCCGACATAGAAGGCCATACTGACAGATAAGAAGCTGCTGGGTTAGAACCTCTTGACTTTTTTGGTTATCAGCTGAGTGCTTAGCTGCTGTGACACCAGGGCTCCCAAAATGAGCTGTGGTCACTGGTAATCCCAGTCATGATCCTGCCATATATGTATGTATGTATGCATGTATGTGTGTATACATATTGTTATCTTTTTCCTGAGGAGCAGATGGTGGGCTTTATTGTTTACAGTCCTCTACTTTCCTACAGAGTTACTATGCAATTCAAATCCATCAGAAGCTCTGCAGGAGAATGATGAGGCTTTCTGCTCTGATAAAGATTTACAACCTTGACAACCCTACACAGGGTTGCTATGAGTCAGAACCGACTTGACTGCACACAACTACCATACATGTATATATGTTAAAAGTGCATCTATGGATATATGTGTAAGCTGATTCTAAAATATATTTGGAAATGCAAAGGGCTAAGAAGAGCCACAGTGATCACAACCTTGGCCATAAGCATCAGGGCGTAGACAGTGTGATAGTAGTAAAGCCTCTGTATTGCTGCAGAGACCAGAGGAACAGAATGGAGACTCTGGGAGCACTCCACATTTATGTTTATGATCAAACTGGCAATGCATTATGCTGGGAAAAGAGTGCTCTTTTCAGTAAACGATGTTCAGGCAAATGTTTGGGAAAAAAATCAACAATATTGATCCTTACATTCCATATGGAGCAATAAATTTCACATGGATTGCAGATATGAGAAAGGTAAAACATAGAACAAGTAAGTATAAAGGTAAATAGTTGGCAGATACTTACTTTGTTTTTACCTTTCTAGTAAAACTGATGTAAATTTCTTTGAAGTATTAGAAAGGCAACATGGAATGACATATAGTGAAATAGAATTCCAACAATGGGTGATGTCGCAGACATTTCAGTGAATGTACAAGTTGTTTTCTTATAGTGACCTTTAGTAAAGGCAAAGAAAGTTATAATTATTCAGTATGATACTAAAAGGAATGAATGCTGTAACTATCTTTCAACAAAAGTAAATCTCATTATTTTGGGCAATGCCTGGTATTTGAAGCTTTTTGTTGCTGCTTTCCAGAGAGTGAATGCCCATTTGTTGTCATTGACTAGGTACCCGGGAAGAACCTACGGTGCAGCAGGCACAGCGCCGGTCAGCTGTCTTCCTTTCCTTTAAGTCTCCAATTCCATGTCTGCCCTTGCGCTGGGAGCAGCAAAGCAAACTTCTTCCAACTGTAGCTGGGATCCCCGCGAGTAAAGTTTCCAAATGGAGCACAGATGAGGTATTTTGTATTTTCTTTGTCAGGAAGCAGACTTATGAGTGCCTGAGTAAGTAGTTTAGTCTTTTGTCAGTTTTATTTATTGTGCGAGAGAAAAGGTCATGCTGAGGGGAACTACTAAAACCTAAGTTAAATATTTTGAACTGTAGCATTCAAATTCCGACTTTAAAAAAAAAAAAAAAAAATTAAACTGGGTATTTTGATATTTTTGACAGGTATCAGAATTCATACAGAGCTTACCTGGGTGTGAAGAACACGGGAAGGTATTTAAAGATGAAGTAAGTATTCTCCTAAATTGCAGTATGTTATTTGAAGGCATCAAAGTTATTGAAACAATGGATGATAAAATGTTGACATCGCAAAGGTGAAAGGAGATGGGTTATGTTGAAATTGACAAATTGATACTTATGTGCCTAACATGCAACCTTAATCAGTTTTATAAAAACGTCTTTGAAAAAGATAGATACTAAGAAAATGTTTCTAATTGCCATTTCTGATACCCCATAGCAGTAGCACTAGGCACTTTATAAAAATCAAAATGTAATATTAATAGCATGCATTTAACAGCACATAAAGAAACCAAAGGAAAAAAATAAGCAATCTTTTATTTAAAAAAAAAAAAATTATATTTATATGCCATTTTAACACCATACTCTATTTGGTGCTTAAAATAAGTAACATTACAATTATATTGCTTTCTAAAAATCTCTTTAGATCTTTCATATCTCTGCCAGATTTATCATAGCTGATGTTGATTACAAGCTGTTTTTGAAAGATTGTTAAATTTTTTTCAACTACCTGTCCAGTACTTCTGCATAACAGATGATTATTGATGATGTCATTCATACTTGTTAATTAGACTGGAAGTAATGCTATTAGACTAAAGCAGTAGTCTTTTCTCACTAGCTGTTGTTAGTGCCGTCAAGTCGGTTCTGACTCACAGAGACTCTGTATAGGGTTCCCAAGGAGCAGCTGGTGCATTTGAACAGCCGACCTTGCAGTTCAGATCAACTTGCGGTCCAAGGCTGTATCCTGTAACACCATACCAGGAACTAGCCGGTCATCTACTCTAAGCAGAGTAGTCAGTTGTTACTCAGACCTTGGTTGTGTAATGCTGCTAAAAGGTCAAAGGTAGACTCCGTTATCTCTGAGGCTTTTCCAACACCTGCTGTCTGCAGTTATTGGCATGTACACCTTTCATGCTCTGTGTAAGTTCAAGCAACAGACTTTATTGAGCACAGCAAGTATGTCAGGACAACTGACTGTCACTGCCATTACACACGATGAGAGGTCATTGGTGCTTTTAGTGTGTACCCCTTAAAATGCACATAAGTCGGGTATTACCCATCTTTTTTATTGAATTTCTTATTTCAGAAATGTTTTACTTGCTTTCTAGTTGCTCCTTAATTGGTAGTATTTACATATTGAGTTTCTTTTCCTAACTCCTAAACCCAGAGTATCCTTGTGGGTCACTCTCAGTTCACTCCTGACTGCTGAAGAGATTAAGATTCACAAAGGACAGGCTGTGGCTCTTCTTTTCAAGAGTCATGGAGGCATTATTTTTGTAAAACTGTAAACATTTTAAAAATTAAATGTGTTATAATTTCTATTTTTAGTTCTGGGAAGTGCTGTGGCTCCATATGCTAATCGCTGGAATGCTATCCACAAAGCTATCTGTGGTTCCAGTCTACCAGCCTTCTGATGGGAGAAAGCTACGACTTTCTAGTCCCGTGACGATTTAAAACCTCGGAAACCCTATTCAAGGTCGCTATGAATCGGAATTGACTTGATCACACTTAACAACATTTTTGGTTCTGTTAATATGTTGTTGTTGAGTGCCATCAAGTCAGTTCTGACTCATAGTGACCCTGTTTCCAAGGAGCAGCTGGTGAGTTTGAACTGCCAACCTTGAGGGTCCAGTGCTGTATCCTACAGCGCCAGTCCATATAGGTTCATATTATTATTTCATTTCAATAAGACTTGAGCTCAAATTAAAAATGCATTTATTTCTTTGAATAAGTTTTTCTTCATGGCATATCATCTTGGGAGATGCACCTCATGTGCCAAATATTTTTAAGGCCAGTCCTTCCTGTGAGGAAGTTGAGTTTCTCTGTGATTCATAAATTCATTCATTCCCTTCTTTATCCTGTGAACATGTGATAAATTCTACTATGTGTGTGTTATTCTGTGTTATGCTCTCTGGTAAGAAGGCAAATTCAAGAATAATATGAAATGATCTTTTGCGCTCAAGTTCCTTGCGAGATCAGCAGGCATTTTGGGTTTGAGTCCAAGAAGTGAACCATAACACACAACGAACTAAATTCTTGTAAGAACCCTGACAATGCAATAGGTTAAGCATTGTGTGCAAAAAGTCAGCAGTTCAAACCCACTCGCCAGAATGGGTTATTAATAGGTTGTTTTTTCCTCTTACACACTGCACATTTAGTCTATGAAAGTCCTCATTAGGTGTTTTTTCAAAACATACAGTGTTTGACTATGTTTCTTCACCTCTACTACTCCTGCCATGGTCCACACTACCATCTTCCACTTGGATTTGTGTAATAATTTACTAAGGAATCTCAGAAGAGTTTTTCCCACAGTCGATGTGCCTGGTGCTTCAGTCTCCCTGCGTCTAGGTTGCTCATAGCATTCTAGTCCCAGCACACCATGTGACCCTGCTAAAGCATAAATCACGTCCCTCATCTCTTCTGACCCTTTTACAAAAAGACACCAAACCCATTGTCATTAAATTGGTTCCTACTCATAGCAACTGTATGTAGATGTTTTCCAAGACTGTAAAACTTTATAGGAACAGCCAGCATCATCTTTCTCCCACGGAGTAGTTAGTGGGCTTGAATCACCAACCTTGAAGTTAGCACCCCAACCCACAGCACTACCAGCTTTTTATCCCAATCAGAGTAAGAGCCAAAGTCCTAATAAAGACTTGTAAGGACTTACAGTTTGACACCTGTTACCTCTCTTACCTCCTGACCTCTTTTCTACTCTGTCCCACGCTTATGTTATTCCAGCTACACTGGCTTCCTTGCTGTTCCTCTATTTGCCAGGCATGCTATGGTTCTTCCCTCTGCTTGGAATGCTGTTTCTCCACATGTTCATGAGGCTTGCTCCTGCTCAGATGAGTCCTCCCTGATCAGCCTACTTGAAAGTGCCACCTATGCCACACATAGCCCTGCCCATTGCTCCAGCCACTTCCCCAAGCAGCTGTTTTTTCATAGCCTAATCACTGAGTGGGACACTGCAGGTTAAGCACTGACCCCCAGGGTTGGTTTGAACTGCAAGGTTAACGGTTCAAACACACCAGCCACTCCTCAGAAACCCTATACAGGGTCACTGTGAGCTGGAACCAACTCAGTGGTGCTTAACAACAACAATCATCTGGTGTGGCATGTAGGATAAGTGCAGGACCACAAAGTCCATTTGAAACATAAGGTCAGCAGTTCAAACTCACCAATCACTTCTTGGAAACCCAATACTGGGTCATTCATTATGAGTTGAAACTGACTCAACAGCACTTTACAACAACCACCTTCTAATTTACTAATTAATTTGCTTATGTAACATGTTTATTGCTTATATGAGGTCCTGGTGTGGTGCTGTGGGATTAAAGCACTAGACCACAAGGTCAGTTTGAACTACAAAGTCTGAAGTTCAAACTCATCAACCATTATAAAGGTTCTCTGTGAGTCAGAACTGACTTGATGGCACTTAACAACAGCGATACTCCTTTCACGGGGGGGGCTCCAAAAAGCTCATGAACTTTCAGTTCTATTTTTCACAAAACTTTTTTAAAACCCTTCATAGCCTGTCTCCCACTACTAGAATGTAAACTTCAGAAAGAGATTGAGAGACTGCGTGTTTTGTTTTTTTTCTCTGCTGCATGCCTGGGTCTTAGAGAATGTCTGAACATAGTAGATGTTTAATGCATTTTTATTGAGTGATTTTTGCCATATGAAACATGCAGAATCCAAAAACTGTTACTGTTGTCAGACTTCAGTAGGATCAAGGTGGTAATTAAATTATCAGTCTTTGTAATGAGTTCCCAAAGCTTGACGTTTTTATTGACTTACAAGCTTCTACCAGACTGCCCATTCTGCTAAGTCTGCCTCAGCTGAGTGAAGTGTTACTGGATCTGCCCTCTTTGTCATTATTTTGTCAGCAATCTATGGCTGCTGGAGCAAGTAAAAACAGAGCAAATGTGCCCTAAAAATAGTGCTACGTTTCTCATGTAACCACTTAACTCATGTTACACTTGGAAACTAAGATTGAAATGTCTTTTGTGAGAATGTGAGTTACCTTTTGTATTACATTATAAAACTTAGAGGAAGGGTTTTGGGGGTTTTGTTTTTAAATTGTTAGGATGTGGCTGATAGCGTTAGCCTGAATTCTTTTATTTCCACAAACATTTGTGTACCTATTCTCAAACATATAAACTTACTGTTACATGTCCTGGTGTGGTTCAATAGACAAACACTGAACTGCTAACCACAAGGTCGGCAGCTTGAGCCTACCAGCTACTCCATGGGAGAAAGACGAGGCTTTCTGCTCCCAAAAAGATTTGCAGCCTCAGAAACCCTATACAGGGTTGCTGTGAGTCAGAATTAATTTGATGGCACTCAACAACTTGAGTCCTGGTATTACGCTATAGGATAAGCACTTGACCTTAGGGTTGGTTTGAACCACAAAGCCGATTCAAACTCACTAACTCCTCATAAACCCCCTGCAGGGTCACTGTGAGTCAGAAATGATTCCACAGCACTTAACAGCAACAACAATGACATAAAGTAGATTTGGGGCACTCTAGATTTTTCCATATTGTACAACCATCTTGAGTAAGTACCAAAGTCAGAGTGATCTCGGGAAGTTATGGGTGCCTTTCATTTCCCTGTGGGCAGTGTTTTCAAATGAATGTATTTTACTCCCAGTTGATACTTAGGTGTGTACAGTTTTGCAGTTATAGGTAAAAAAAGGTCAGTGTATCCAGAAAAGTTCCCCACCTAACCCCTCATGTGTGACATGATAGTGGTGGTAGTGTTTAGAAGACAGCTGACAATTTCATTTGGAAATTTCCCATAATCTGCATTAGATTAAGCCATTCTTTTGCTTTCTTTCCATTTAAGCAAATTGATGGAGAAGCTTTTCTGCTTATGACTCAAACGGACATTGTGAAAATTATGAGTATTAAGCTGGGTCCTGCTCTCAAAATTTTCAACTCTATCCTGATGTTCAAAGCTGCAGAAAAGAACTCTTACAATGAACTCTGAAGACGATGGATTCTGTCTACCATCAGCTCTCCGCTTTAAAGCTCATGTTTTATTCAAAGCACAAGGATGGTTGTAACTCTTCAGTGAGAAATCTCCAAAACAAAAAAGAGCAAGGCTATCGGATTATTTATATTTCTCAAGAGACAATATATGGATTTTTCTGAAAATGCTTGAGCTTTTAAGCAAGTACTGTCTAACAACAGTCATCTTTTTGGTTCTGTTCACTGAGCTAAATTTATCTTTGTAAATCTTTTTGAGTCTGGGGGTGGGGGGGGAGGGGAACCCTCATTAATTATTTATGGATAAGGGGGGCAGAATAAGAACTTTTGGCATTTTGTAAACATTGTTGAATTCTCTTTCATGTACACTGTTTCTTTTTCAATACTTGCAGGAACCTTTTTATATAATCAAAATTCAACTTAAACCAAATTAGTCAAAGCCTGGCTAAATTTAGCCAGTTGGGACTGTTATATGTATTGTTAATGTTGTGCCATATTTTGAATTGCAACATTATGCTAAGTATAACTTTGCAAGTCATGATATTGCCTAACTGCTTGTAATAATTTGTTGGAGCTGAATAGTTGTAAAAATTACTTTTCTTTAAATCAGTGTTCTTACTTTTGCACGAATTATGAAATGGTAAGCAAATTACTTTTTTCACCAGCATCTTTACTATAATTACCAAAAATGTGTATATAAAAGGATGACATTGAGAAAATAAAATATATAAAAGTAAACGTAAATAAATTAGGTAATGTATTTGAATGGCATCAGTCCCAAACATCAATGGTGCCCTGTATGTTTACGAGTCAGATGGTATCAAAGGAATATGCAGTTACATTTGGAGGAATGTTTGTAAGAGTCTTGAACTATTTATGAGATTGTCTTGAGCTTTTCTCTTAATTGTCATTGATGTAACTGTGGTGCTTTACAGAGATGAAGGGCTCGGTCTAGTCTCTACTAGTTCACAAAGAGCTGTTTCCGATCTTACAGTGTCCTTCAAACCCAAAGGGTTTCTTCAGGGTTGGATAAAGAGAGAGTGTAGAGTGTGTAGATTTTACTGAAAAGGCAAGGTGTGAGGGAGCAACACCAGAAGACAAAGATCCTAAATGCTCACAGGTCAGGGAGGCCGTTTCCCAAAGCAGTCGTTCAAGTACCTCCATGTTGGAAGGATTCCTTTTTCTGTAGAACACTTTGCCTCTATTTATAAGCGTACAGATGCACTTTAAATGAAAACCCTCAATTACCTATAAACTGATAGCTGGTAGTGTTATGTTTTTGTTTTTGTTTGCAAGATTGCATTTGCAAAGGAAAAGGTAAATTATTTCATCAGCCTTTTGATGTAGTTTCTAATCCAGGATTGGAAATTTATTCAAGGACTATTTTAAAAAATAGTAAGTTTGTAGCATGTTCTCAGAATTCTGGGGAAGTTCCATCTCTTTCTTTATTTAGTTGCTTATCAGTTTTTCTGATGTAGATCTCCTTCAATATCTCCAAGTCTATATTCCCATTGGGAGGCTAATAGTCATTTGCATTTGACATAATTCCAGGTAAAACAGGGTCCGTGACATCTACAGTGTCCCATTCATTTCTTTGCATGAATCTCTTTAATGAGTTTTTTGTTGTTTATTATTTTCTTTTTTTACGTTTTGTTCAGAATTTGTACATTCAAGTTGCACTTGTTATATCTGATATGAATAAAATAAAATCTTAATTGGCGATGTTTTGGGTTTTTTTGAACATCTGTATTATTCTTAAGAAAGGTTGTTAGAGGCAGAACAAGAACAGGAACTATACTCATTATATGGTTACTAGATGGCCCTGCCATTCACTGCTAGGATTCAGAATCATTTGTTCAATGATGTTCCAGATGATATAAAGAAGGGCAAAACAATTCAAAAAGACTATTTCAGGTTAAGTAAGATTCATGCCCATTGAGGAATAATATATACCTTTGTAGTGATAAGTATATGATATTTTAATGAAAGACTCATATATGATAATGAAAACCATTTAAAAAAATCTTTATACATCCACTCATTCTAAGTACTATGCTGTTATCTGTCGGAGACAAGGCAATAATTAAGCATCCTAGAGGGGTATGGGATTTATGTTCCTCAAGAAGTGGGGGAGTCCTTTTTGCCACTCCGTTCCTGAACTAGAGTCTTCAGTTTTAATAGAAGTAAAGTCCGGATGGTAGAAAGCTCATGGAATTGAGAAAAGCAGCCTTGTAAGACAAAGAGGAGGAATGGGGGATGGGGGACTGGACAGACTAGACCTTCTAAAGGCATCGAGATCATTATAAACATGGTGCAAGCCAAATGAGACCTGTCAGCAGGTTGAAGTGTGTCTATAGGCTGCCAGTTGGCAGTTTCTAGACTCTGAACTAAAAAGAAGTTAAGGTGGTATTCAGTAACAGTATTGAATTTTACTAAGTGATGGGGTTATGCTGGATACTGAGGATAGATACACCGTTAGGGCACAGTGAAGTGCACGGATCGGCCCTCATGGTCAAATCATGTCTTTATCTTGCTAAACATCAAACTTCACTGCAGTTTCCCTCCAACTCTGCCTCTGTCATTTTGCCCCAAAGAGGGACTTTCATTCAACTTCTGCTTTAGAGAGAGTGTATTTTGTAAGGAAAATCATCTTGAAGAAAATTCCAGTGAAGAGGGCTATGATAATTAAATTTGAAAAATGGGGGAGAGGTAATTTAGGAAATAAAAGTTTATAAGGTATGACAGAGTGAAGGATACAGAGACTGGGATAATGACTAGTTTGTATGAAAGTGACGTTGCCAAGCTGTTGTTGTTTACTCTTCCCATTCTGGTGTAGAAGGAGCACTGTGGTAATGTGGGAGAATCCTAGACTGCTAACCACAAGGTCAGTAACCCTAACCCACCAGCCGCCCCAGATGAGACTGTCTGCTCCCTTAAAGATGTGCAGTTTCATAAATCCAAACAGGACTCGGTGAGGCTCTGTAGGATAAGCACTGGACTTCAAACTACAATGTCAGCAGTTCAAACCTACCAACTGCTCCTTGGAAACCTTACACACAATGGCTATGAGTCGGAAGGAAATGACTCTAAGGCACCTAACAACAACACTCTGGTATACGAAGTTCATGGATAGTAATTGTTCAGATGGCCAGCTAATCTGTCACTTCCTTTTATCTCCCCAACTTAAAACACTTTAATGACTGAGCAATCTTTGAAAAGAGAAAAACTATCTAGAAGACTGTAGTGTATCAGTGATGAATTAATTTGCTCTGACTCTAAGAATATATGTTGTAAAAAGTTTTTCATTTACATAAACACCTTTCTTCTTAAACATTTTTATTTTAAGTAATGAGAAGTAACGTTTTATGTTTTGATGATTGCATCAAGAGAATATTAAAAACATTTTTCCTTGTGGAATACTAGGGAAAGAGTGAGTGTCGTGAGTCCTGTTAGACCCAGAGAATAGTTGCGCAGTCATGTACTTATGAACAAAACAAAATCGGAATGTGGGACTCAACCAATCACCATGTGTGCGGGATGGGATTGAAGGTGAGGACTGCCACTCCTGAGAGGCTGAAGGGCAGATCTAGGGAAGGCCCTAACCGGCAGACATGAAGGTGATGGCCACAGAGCCATGGGAGTACAAGGCCGGGTCAGTACACGCAGTCGCAGTCGGCAGATTGTGAATAGGATGCATTCCTAAGTGTGTCTAAGTCAAATGTGTACCTAAGTTGGAACAAGTGCATATGATTCTTCTTGAGTCTTACTGTAGTACAAGAAAAGGCTTTTGAAGCCTTTCCCATGATTTAAAAGCTGTATGTACAGTGATCAAAGGTACTGGTTATGAGTTTGTTGCAAGTAGAGGTAGGTTTGTTTCAAAGTGAAGGCATATTTATATAAAACTTAAAGGGCAACCAAGTCCCCCCTCCATCCAAAAAAAAAAAAAAAAGCTAAAGAGGATAGAGAGAAACACTGTAAACTGATGATATATGGCGGGAATAATAATCAATGTAATGAAACAAGCTATAAGAATGGTTGAATGTGAAGCTGATGATGTGCCCTGTAAACTTTCACTCAATGCAAAATAAAAACATTTAATTTAAAAAAAACAAAAAAACTTAAAGGGCAAGCAAGAGTTATCAGTTAGTTTATAACAAGACATAACTGTGTTCCAGACCAAAACATAGCCACCTGCTAAAACACAAAGAGCACACAGGGTAGATCTAAACCTTCAAAGTCAAAATGAGAGAAACCAAAAACCCTGTGGCTAAATGAGTACCAGGTGATGGCTGGATTTCAAGGGAGAGAAGCAATGAAGAAGGTACAGTTAGAGGTGATTGGAAGGAATGGCCAGCAAAAAGGAGACCTCAGGAATGAAACGACCCTTCTCAATAATGTAACACTGAATCCCAAACACCTAGGGCCAAGCAGGTCCTATAGAAGAAAAGAGAACGGAAGTATTGACCTTTTCTTAAAATGTTAAGATTCAAAATGTTTCGAAGCAATGTTTAAACCAAAGCGATAGTCCAAAGAGCACAATTTGGCAACTCTTGGATATAAAATCTTGCCAGTCACACCTAATCCAAAGAATTCAAATAAATCGGAAAAGCAGCATCTTTAAAAACTTAAATGTTCCTTGAAAGTATAACTGATGCTCTGGAATTCTTGGAGCTCACATAAGAATATATGGTCATCTACCTAAAATGAGGAGGAGCTCTGGTAGTGTCGTGGTTATGAATCAGGCTGCAAACCTTAAGGTCAGCAGTTTGAAACTGCCAGCTGTTCCATAGGAAAAAGATGAGGCTTTCTGCTCCTGTAAAGATTTACAGCCTCAGAAACCCTGTACAGGGTCACTATGAGTCAGAACCGACTCCACAACATATAACTACCATCACCACCACCTAAAATGAGGGGTGATAAAGGCTCGAAGTGACTGGTTAATAAGGTGTCAAGAGGTAGTTTAGTTTAAGAGTGTGCAAGACAAGATAGAGTCCCCACTGAACAGTTCTCATGTAGATGGGTCTGGTAAAAAGAGATGGGAGTAAGATTCTTAGGATTCAATAGTGAGTAATTGTTATGACTAATTGAGACTCACAATTGTAAAGGTATAAGTTTTGTAACAAAATCAAGGGAGTAGTTAATTGTACAGTCCAGAAACAGAGGACCCTAGAACCATTAGGGAGAAGAGCTCAAGCGGAATGCAGGACCTTATCCAGTGAAGCAGTGACACCAGAGATGGGGACATGGAGAGAGGGAGCAGCTGAGGACTCTAGAGTCATGGAAAGAGAGGGCCTGAGAGCTGGTGGCCAGGAGGCAGGCTTGCAGAATGTGCCCATTGGTAGTTTAATATATATGCCTGGGTTTAAAAAAAAAAAAAAAAAAAATGAATAGAGAGATGGTACATGGAAGGGATTATAACTATTGTAATGAAACAAAGTATATGATTTGTTGAATGTAAAACTGATGATCTGCCCTATAAACTTTCACTCATTTCACAATAAAAACTTAAAAAAAAAAAAAGACTATATGGTCATTAGGCCGCATTTTATTACAGAATTGCACAAAGAAGTATGTATCAAAATGTAATGTTAAAGGCATTGGAATCCATTTGATTAAGGTGACCTTCTAGTAATGTACATCTACCACCCTAAATCAAAGTAATTTTTTCAGTTATCCCAGAGATAATTCTAATAGCTTTTTGCATGCCATGACTAGGTGTTGAAATCCTTTCTTTTCCTTTTCCGTTACAAGGGGAAAGCGGGATGGTGCATATCAAAAATCAGTGTTTTTAGAAACCTGAGGGTTTGGCACAGTCTTTGTGGGCACCTAATCCCAAACACATGAAATGCAGCTAAGAGCGCGGCCAAGGCTGTAATACAGTCATCCACCTTCGTGAGCCTCTCTTTTTCTAAATACAAAGAAAATTCACAGTCACTGATGTTGAAAGGGTTTTTTACTTCTAACACGGGTGTTGAAACCTGCACCTGAAATACAAGAGAATGGAGTCACCGCCCAACAGTACACAAAATGATGAAATAAGAAAACATTCCTGAACTCTAACTATTAATGAGCTTGTTCAAATTTAGCTTCGTTGAAAATGTAACAAAACATACTTCAAAAACCAGGCCACCATCTTACTAATATAAATGTTAAGCATCCCAACAAAATCATAGAAACCTTTATATTGAACAAAATTATCAAAATGTGAAGCTGTTATTTCTCAACATATCCTCAATTTGTACACTACTGTAGGGGCTGTTTCCCGTCTCTTAATTCTCCCCAAATAACTACACTCTTCAATTTATATCAAAACAGCTGTTTTCTCAAGGGACTCAAATTGTATTCTTTTTAAATGTTCTTTGAGTTTAGGGAACAAGAAGTCTGAAGACGCAAAATCAAGGCTGTAGGGTGGAGTGTGGTCATGTTTCCTAATTCCCCTAGGACGGCCCTTACCCTCAAAGAAGGCGCAGTTGCACTGCCATGATGGAAAAAAATTCCTCAGTGCAACTTTCCTGACCCTGTCTTCACCAACGCAGTTTTCCATTTTCTTAAAATCTCTTCCTAATAAGCCCCTGTGATTGTTCTGTGTCCTTTCAGAAAATCTATTAAGATAACCTCTTTGGAATCCCAAAGCTCGTTGGTATTCTGAGATGACCCCTCTGCCTTGAATTGGACTAACCCAGAAAATCCCCTCAGAAACAACTGTTTTGATTGGAACTTTGTTTTGTTTGTTTGTTTTTAAGGCACACTGTAGCATGTAAGGTAAGCACTGGACTATTAACTGCAAGGTTGGTGATTCAAACTCACCAGCCACTTCTCAGAAACAGGGCAGATATGAGTCAGAACCGACCAGATGGCACTTAACAAGACAAAAGTGGGTTCCTGAGAGAACTAGTCTGCAGCCATCCACTGATTGCAAAGACACATTTTGTTTGGAATAAACCAATGCACATATGAAGCCCTAGTAGCAACATTTTTTGATTTAACCTTCAGAAATAAGTGATTCTATAAAAATGTAAATGGAAAAACAATATTCATTGGCAGCTTACATACCTTTTCATTTACAACAACAAAAAGGTTAGGATCATCCCCAAAAACATCTGGTAGGAGTAAACATGTGGCTGTCATCTTCATATCTGTCAAAGTAAACATGTTAGCAGTCCCCAGTAAAAATAAGCTTTTACCAACTGTCGTAAATAAAGCCAGTATCAAAATAACTGGTTTTTAAACAAAATTAATTATTACCCACTACAGAGAACGAGGCATTCTGGTGTGGTGCTGTCAGATGAGCACTGGGCCACAAGGTTGTTTGAACTGCAGGGTTAGCAGTTTAAACTCAGCAGCTGGACCTCAGAAGCCCTATGTAGTGTTGCTGAGTTAGAATGGACTCAACAGCTCTTAACAACAACAGCACAGAGGACGAGGAGCCTGGGTGCTACAACAGTTAAAAGTATCTATTGCTGCAAACTTCAAGGTTAGCAATTCAAAACTACCAGCTGTTCCACAGGAGAAAGACGAGGCTTTCTGCTCCTGTAAAGACTTACAGCCTCAGAAACCCTGTACAGGGTCACTGTGAGTTGGAACTGACTCCACGGCACATAACCACCACAACCACCACCATTGATAATTGAAAGGTTGTCACCTTAACTCCACCAAGCTGTTCAGCAGGAGAAAGAGCTGGTAATCTGCTCCCATAGAGATAGTTGTTGTTGTTAAGTGCCGTTGAGTCAATCCGACCCATAGTGACCCTGTATAGAGGGTTTCCGAGGAGCAGAGATGAGGCCAACAAGAGCCTGTGGGGCAGTTCTGTCACATGGGTTATTATGAATCAAAAATCAGCTCAAAGGCATCCGACAGCAACAACAGAGAACAAAGTAGCTCTCTTAGATCAGTATTTCTCGTGTGTTTAAGCAACATCCCCTTCTAATAAACCATAAAAACCTCAGGTTCTGCCTCAGAAGAATTCTATACTCCCCGTTCTCCCAGCCAGGATGATTTTTCCAGGCCTTTACTTTGTGATCTGTATTATAAAATTAACAGGTGACCACTCCCCTAAATATAACTTTACTGAATTAAGTGTGCTTTTAAAATCTGTACCTACATGCCTTACTTGAGAATTATTTTTTCCCCCACCACTTGTCTCACTGAATTTCACTTATTACCCAAACAAGGACATTTCCAAGTATCCTGAATGATACTGATGACTGAAAACGAACCCTATAGCAGGTTTACTAACGTTTTAATATGTCTTCATCTGTGTACTGTTTCATTTTTTCTTGTAAAACAGTATTGATTGGATTATCTGCCACTATATAAGAAGTCAGTATATTTTCTGAATAGGATTCCAAAATGTGCTTTGTTTTCTTATAAATATCTGTTCTTGTAAGGAGTTGGAATTCTCTGAACATCTGATAAAAGAAAAAAAAATCATAAGTAAACAAGCTAATTTAAGAATGTTACGAAGTAAATAACTATAGAACTTTAACAAACTTTGAATAGTGATTTAAAATATATAGTAGATATTTTTAATAGCTTTGGTGGAGAAATAAAGACTTAAGATGGGGAGGAGAAGAGAATGAAAACTTGAAGTGAGTGGGGAAAGATGAATACTAAACACAGGAAAATTCTAAGCCCATAGAATTCAAATCGTATAGATACAACTAAAGTGTTAATAGTATACGCGGGAGCTTCAAAAAGTTTGTGGAAAAACGAAATTCCATTATCTTTTAATTCTATTTTTCCACAAATTTTTTGAAGCCCCCTCTTAGATGCATAGCTTTGCTATTTAGGTAACCCTGCTAAGATTATGGGGCATTACAATTATTCAGGCAATGAGAGTCTCCCATTAAAGACAAAATAAGAAAACGATTAGATTGTATGAAACATATCTTGAAAAATACCTAACTGTAGTATCCTGATAAGAAAGAGGTGTCCTTGTGAAGTGTCATAGAGTCAGTTCCAACTCATAGCTAACCTGAATAGTGTTTCTGAGGAGTGGTTGATGGGTTTCAACCACCAACCATGTGGTTAACAGTCCAGTGCTTATCCTACAGTGCCACATCAAGACTCTGATCACATCATGAGAGAAGTTATTACATTATATTAAACTTCATCATGGGAAATTATTACATCTTAATTGCTGAATCACTGAGAAACCAGACCCAGCTAAGGTGGCACAAAACCTTAACTATCACAGTCACCTATATATGCTGTTAGGTGCCATCAAGTTGGTTCCAACCAATAGCAACCCAATACACCCCAGAATGAAACACTGCCCAATCCTGAGCCATCTCACAATTGTTGTTATGCATGAGCCCATTGCTACTGCCACTGTGTCAGTCCATCTCCTTGGGTGTCTTCCTCTTTATCACTGGCCCTCCACTTTACTAAACATGATGTCTGCTCCAAGGACGAATTGGTCCTGACAACATGTTCAAAGTGCGAGAGGTGAAATCTCACCATTGCTGCTTCTATGGAGCATCCTGGCTGTATTTCTTCCAAGACAGATTTGTTTGTTCTTCCAACAGTCCATAGTACTTTCAATATTCTTCACCAACACCATAATTCACCTGCATTGATTAGTCTATGATTTTCCTTATTCATTCCACCTTTCACATGCACATGAAGTGATTGAAAATATCGTGACTCAGGTTAGGCATATCTTAGTCCTCAAACTGATATCTTTACTCTTCAACCCTTTACAGAGGTCTTCTGCACCAGATGTACCCAATACCATACACCATTTCCACCACTCGTGTGCCGCTTAGTTGTACTGTGGTATGGTATCTTGTGTGTTGCTGTGATTCTGGAAGCTATGTGACCTATATATTTAATTCCAGCAGGTTCACCCATGGTAGACAGGTTTCAGCTGAGCTCCCAGATGAAGACAGAATAGGAGGAAGAAGAGACGGACAACTTATGAATATTTAGCCAGTGAAAACCTTATGAACAGCAGTGGAACACTATCAGCACCAAAATGTTGAATATTGAAACAAGATGAACAGCACCAGAATACTGTCAGATAGAGTGCCAGAAGATGAGCCCCTCAGGTTGGAAGGCATTCAAAATATAACTGCGGGGAAGAGTTGCTCCTCAAAGCAGAGTGGACTGTGATTATACAAACGCAGTAACTCCCCCGGGACCTTCATTTGCTGAAGGGGCACAACTCAAGGTGAAGAGAAATAGCTATAAAACCCCATTAATAATCAGAATATGGAGTATACAAATTATGAATCTAGGAATTTTTAAAACTGTCAAAAATGAAATGGAATGAATAAACATCGATATCCTAGGTATTGTTGTTGTTGTTGATGTCAGGTGCCATCAAGTCGGAACCGACTCATAGCGACCCCATGCACAGCAGAACGAAACAATGTCCGATCCTGGGCCAACCCCACCACCGCTGCCACACTTGA